GACTTTATATTCTGAATGAATGAAAATTGTTTGCAAAGGAAACTATAATAAGAGTGTAAAACATTGATCTTACATTCTAGATTGTGATGAACCAACCAATGATAATAAATCAATGATACCGTATCCTGAGAATGAGAGTATTCAATTTGCCACAATAGAAATATTAGTCAAAGAATATATAGATGGGTAACTTTACATGTTGATTGATACTAGCTCTGTAGCTAAGATAAGTTGACGTGAAGTGGTAATGAAAATTGGGAAATTGAATACAGAGATGTGGCAAGAAGATGGATTTGATGCTAACAGCAAGTGGTTATGAAATTCCAGCATGCAGAAATTTAGAAATATCTCTCATGGTTGGAAGCTTTTCTATATAACATGAAGGATGTGCAATTGACAAAGAGCAAGATTACATATTTGGAATAGACTTCATACAGGGGCGTGGATGTAAGGTTAGACTTGCTTCAAAAAGTTTTACAGTTTATGATCAGAAAATCCCCGTGCACTACGCGAAAATTACATCGCTAGAGATTTAACTTCCAGTGACAACTCGGATAGAAAAACAAAATAACAAATCGAACCAGCATAACTTGCAACAAAGCATAATCCAGAATTTCAGAGAGTCCAAACTAAAAGTCATCCACTGTGATCATTTATGGTGGTACATCAGCAGGAGAACAGCCGACTGATTGGCTTCAATTCAGACTCCATTGAAGCTAAATCAATATTCTGAAGAGTCTGAGGTTCCTGTCGAGACCATTTTCAGCATACCACCAGGAATGGAGCCGCCAGTGATTTCCCCGGATCATCTATCTTAAGAGCACTCTCCATGTGACATGACAGCAAGTGTTGATAAAGGACAAGAGACCATTCAGTCTTCGTACCATAAAGATTTGGTAACTGAACAGTAGTAAATAAGAAAAGATAGAAGATTTTGTTTATCAAAATGGTTATTGTATTTTGTTTCACACGTTGAACTTACGATTGTAATGTTTATACTTATAAATATTAATGATATTAATTATCAAGATTTACTTGATTGTTAATTAGGGAAGTCTAATTTTAACGTACTAATGTTTTCTTATGCAATATGATTGTTCAAGGGAGACGCAGTGTTATTGTCCATGTTTTTTTTAATTTACGTTTCATGTTATTGTTTGTCTAGAAGGATATTATAAAGTCACGTGATAAGTGCGTAGCTAATACATAAAAAAATTTTGAAAGTTTGGAAAATTATTTTGATAATATAAAACCACAGTTAGACTACATTAAAAGTGTTAATTGATTAGTGAGTCTGTTATAGTGTTTGACAGGTTAATGTGTTAGCGAGTTTGTCAGTTTCGTGAATGTTGAGTTGGTGTCACCAAGAAGAACTGTTTAGTGACTGTTTAGCGTTATTTGTGAAGTTAAGCTTACGGTTTGTTCGTAAAACTATGTAAATATAGAAACTTGTAAACAAAGAAATAAAAAGTTTTCATTACCATTAAGTGAAATGGATTTTTATCATAATTTTTATACCAAATAATTCAAAAGATTGTGGGAAAATGTAAATTTTGGAAAATAAAATGTTATTACAAATTTAAAATATAATATAACTTATTCATATTTAAATTTTTTGATGACCATAAAACTATTTTTAAAAAAGATATTAAATTTTCCCTGTGTTTGTTCTTAATTATGCACAAAGCTACACAAGGGGATATCTGTGCTCTGCCCATCACGGGTATCGAAACCCGGTTTCTAGCGTTGTAAGTCCGCAGACATACCGCTGTGTCACTGGGGGGCTTTTCCATGTGTAAGTTTATAATTGTAATTCTACATTACCCATAAGTAGTATGCATTTTGGGGTAGCTTGTTAACATAATTTTGTTATTAGTAAGCTCAATTAATACTTTAAAAATTTTAAATTTAAATGAATTGAAATATCACAACTTATTTATTATTAATTTTGAAAAAGCTGCACCAGAAAAAAAAACATTTTTTCTCTCAGACAGTCTATTGTTATTGAGATATATTCGTAAATCAATGAGATATTCTAAAAATATTGCGTTATTTGAATGCAAAAAAAATCACTTTTTTTTTAAAAAAAAGCAAGGGTAAATAAAGGACTCAATCGCTTGTAGGTCACCCAAAATATGGTCTTTAGAGCTTTTATATATTTCTGTTTATCTTCGTCACTTTTTTTTTATTATCTGGCTATAAGATTCACAGGCTCGTCTCTCGATAGTTTATACTTGTATTTCCTGGTTACGAGAGTAACAAACTTTATACAAATTGTCATATTTTTTAATGAAAGCTATATAAATATGAACTAATGATTTAAAATTATTCATTCAAAATATTCATTGTTTGTGGAAAAACCTAAACTGAAGTAAATAATATGTGTTTTCAGTACAGCTTGATCTGCAAATTTATTTGATGTACAAGCTGATTTAGACACAAAATGAACAGCTTTACAAGTAATAAAGATTGCTCTTGTCGCCATAAGTGAGAAGACAATATATATATATAGAACGAAATAATTCACAAATAAATATTTCTAATAATATAAAATAAAAACTTTAGGAATGGTACTTCACTTTTTTTCAAGTAGGCCCATACATGCCGTCAGCTACTACTGAAGATAGCACATTATTTACATACCTGAAGTTGGAAGTTTTGAGGAGTAAATTACGTAACAATTTGATAAATGAAACAGTATCTGATTTAATAAAATATTGTTTTCAGGTTGATTTGCTTTATTAACTGAGGCTATGATTTTACAGGGCACTGATTGTATAATTGTTGCAGATACGCCTTACGTAATCATACCGGTTGCGGGTAACGGTATTATTGATTAAAAATCAACTTAACCCTACTGCAGTTCTTTTTCTTTTTCGCAGCAGTGGAAGTTTCCTAGCAGCCTAGCAACAAACTAGAAGCACGCTTACGTGATTTTGTCCAATGAATGAACAGCTGCCTCTTCCAACATGCGCTTTCAAGTAACGAATAAAACGCATGCTATCACGTGAACGCTCTTCTTCCACGTATATTAGATGCTGCATAGCTCACTGCAGTAGAGTTTCAAACTGGGGAAAAAGAGTAAGCATCTATGAATAAGGTGTATCAAAGAGATTTTCTATTTAATTCTTTAATCTTCAACAGAGAAAACAAGTTACTGATATTATTGTTAATATTTCATCCTTTACGTGACAGAGACGTAAGGTAGGTTAATTTTTCTTTCTATGTGTTTTTTAAAAATAAATATTATAGTATTGACTCGGAGATTAAATATATTAATTTACAATAATAGAAATTCGATTAAATTGAACTTAAAATGAAATTATGGAACATTTTTAGAACTTATTTTATGATACAGAGTAATGCTCAAATTGAATGTTAAATTAATTTATACCAAAAGCTGAAACCTAGTTTTAACGAACAAAACATATGGTGTATGTCGATTCACAAAATTCTCTCAATCTGTTGAGGTTATTAAGATTAAATTACCTCTAGTGTTGGTAATGAAGGTGTGCTTAAAAATATTGGAAAATAGGATATTTTGTGTAGAAATACGTAACAAAAATAGTAGTAATTTATACATATTTTCGTTTAAGTGTCTGCAGTATGCCGAACATCTGAGGTTTTCCTCATAACACGTGGGTTCTCAACCTTTTTTAGCTTGGAATACATTTGGGAAAAATGTATTATCTATTTTCAAAGTCTGTTCGCGACCCTCTCACACCTTCAAGAAACCCTGCTCTATAGGATATAGTCCTTGGAAGTCCCCCAGTGGGACAACAGTAAGTTTATGGACTTACAACGCAAAAATCAGGGATTCGATTTATCGCAGTGGACACAGTAGATAGCATAATGTACTTTGCTCTAAAAACATAAACAAGTTTTTGGAAACGATTTATTTTCGTTAATTATAATTCTACTATGTTAATGGAAATGTTAGTAACATTACTGAACTAAAAGTTCGTAAACTTATCTAATATTTATTAAATGTCAGCATGCGTTTTAGTAATCATTTTTCAAAAACAACGAGTCTAACCATGACACGTGATAAAGATAAACCTATGGTCTGTTCGTATTTTATCTTTAACGTTTGTTATATTTTACGATTAGTTTTATAAACAAAAGTTCATATTATAAACAAGATTACGACACTTATGATATACAACATTGTTTATTAACAAAAAGGGGACATAGATAAATGTTTCGGAATTCTATCAGATTCCATTTTCAGTATCTAAAGCAAAATAAAGTAAATTTATATAAGTCTTTGGGCATTGTCAAAGTACAATTGCTAAATACAACGATAATAAAACACTAAACAGTAATCATGGGGAGAAACTAAAGCAAGAAAACACACAAAAAAAGGTAAAATCAGTAATATGAACATATTAAAAAATGTATAGTTTAAATGAAGACTGCATGTTGTTCAGTGTTGGAGAGTGCTGTTTGATGTGGAGGGTTTCTTTAATCAATAATTCCAGGTCAGTATTAGACTTTCAGAGGATATAGGTTGATGTCCTGTTTCTTCACTATGTTGGCGTATAGAGGAAACACAGGGGTTACTCTTTTTCTTATGCGTTTTGATGGAAATTCTTGCTGTTTTCTTGCTGTAGTTTCTCCCCATGATTACTGTTTACCGTTTTTTTGTTTAATTATCGTTATATTTAGCAACTGTACTTTGACAATGCCCAAAGACTTATGTCAATTTATTTTATTTTGCTTTCGATACTGAAAATGGAATCTGATAGAATTCCGAAACGTTTATCCATGTCCCCTTTTTTGTTAATAAACAATGTTGTCTATCATAAGTGTCGTAATCTTGTTTATAA